AACGCAAAAGTCGAAGATTCGAAAGCGGGTGTAGGCGCGGAAGGGGGGGGGGGAGCGTTTGAATAAGGCGGCGGAATACGATTAAATAAAAGAAACTCACGGTAAACAGTATTTTTAATCAGTAGAAGTTAACAAAAGTGGTCGGAAGGAGGGAGAGAGTACGCTGAGAGAACGGATAGAGAGAGAGTAAACCAACCAGCCGGTACTTACAATGACGGTGCTCGTCCTCTAGATACGCAAACAAGTCGCACAGTTTACGTCGACGCACACGCACAAATTATCGGGCACCACGCGCGCTCCGCGGCTCGTTTCCTCCTGACGAAATCCTGCTCTACCAGCTACAACACGCGAGCGTAGATCCTCTACTGGGCCAGGCGACGTCGCAATTCTTCTCTGGATAAAGGCCCCAGCTCCGAGATCGAAGAAGAGGGAAGCACCAGGTCACAACGAAGATCTGAGCAGGGAAAGTCGTCGAGACAAAGGAATCTACCCGCCCGCTGACAAATCCGCACGATAGCAACTCTCTAGCGTGTTGCCTGCTCGGCTCTCGATTTCGTTCTGCCCTGTGTCTAGTCGATTAGTGCCCGCGGTCACTCGCTAAGGCGCGACTGTGTCTCTCTCTCTCCCTCCGCGCCTCGCGGTCGCGCACGGAAGAACCCCGCGTACTCGCATCTCTCTCTCTTACCTTATATTCGAACCGAAGGGTAATTACATATACAGATATTAATAATAAATGAATATAAACATAATAAATTCATAAATATATAGGATAAGTTCGGAGAAATATGTTAGATTTACATATCATTACTAGGGAGAGAGAGATATAACGGATTGGCAATCTCACTCGTTATAATATTTATAAATTTCATTTCATTTCAATATTCAGATCTGAAATTATATGATTGATTAATGAATTTTAGAATAAGGGATAGACTTTATTTGTAACTTTATTGATGAAAATTAACCTACCAAATGTAAATATTTGAGAAAATATCTATTAATATTAGAGTAGCCAGAATTGTCCACACTAGGTTCGCCATTCTCATACCAAATGCGTTTCGATTCTTTACTAAAATTTTTAGCTAGATATCTTTATGAATAATTATCAAAAAGAAATGTATTATTCGACATCACCATTGTTCATTTTATCATTTTCAATTGCAGGTCCACAATTTAAGAGAATAAGAAAGAATTATTTTCGTGTTTCTACTGAAGTACGAAAAGAAATCATAAATTTTCACTTAGATGACAATAACAGTGCTGTTTGTAGTGCAGTAAAAGACCGCAAAAAAATTGTTTTGGAAGATGGCTCATCAACTACTTTAGTTGTTTTAAAAACAAAACCGCCTAAAAGGATTTTATTTTATGATCTCAAAATTTTGTATAAAGATTAGGGAAAAATAACAGAGCAGACCAAGATCTCTTGTTTTGCCTTTTTCTGCCAGTTAAGGCCCGAAATATGTGTTTTTGCTGGAGATCCTGGTACCCATAATATATGTGTTTGTGACAAACATCAGAATCTTAAACTCAAATTAGCAGGAGCAAAATACTATGATGATTACAGAGATGTTATTGCAGCAGGCGTGTGTTGTATTAATAATAAAAAATGCATGTTACACGATTGTGATCAGTGTCCAGGACGAGAAGGAATACGTTATTTCTTGAAATCGCATATAGGCGTTGATGATAAAGCAAAAGTAAAATACAGTAATTGGTCGACTGTATCGATCAGTACTACCAATTCCGAAAGTTTACCTAGTTCGAGAATGACAATCATGGACTTTAAAGTTCCTTTTTCTGAATTCATGGATGATCTTATTGAAGATGTGTGGAATATCAAAAAGCATCACTTCATAGCTTTGGAACAAAAAAAATATTACAGTGAATGCCAAAAAAATTTAGACAAAGATACTGGATTAATTGCTATAGACTTTGCCGAAAACTACCCATTTATCGTTCAAGATTCTGTTCAAGGATTTTATTTTAACAACTCTCAAGCCTCTTTATTTACTGTTACACTGTACTACAAAAACAACATTACTGGTAAAGAGTAGATGTTGCTTGTTATTGTGTTATTTCGGACTCTACAAAGCATCAAGCTTACTCTGTACATATATTCCAAGAAGCCGTCATTGAAGAGATGAAGGAAGAATTTCCGTGGATCAAGAAATTGATATATTTTTCTGATGGAGCCCCCACTCAATTCAAAAACAAGTACAACCAAATTTTATATTACTCACACTGACTTCACAAATTGTTATTTAATTTTTTATTGAAAGGGTCTAGCAGGATAAGATAGTCAAAACTGCCCCGAAGTGATTCAGGAAACTAACTATACTCCCATGTTCAGCATGGAAAAAGACTACGATTTCCAGATTTTCAGACCCCTAAACCCATACGGGGCCCTATAAGGCCCAGTTTTGTCATTTTTGGTTTTTCGACGATATCTCAATCAGTTTTTGAGCTAGAAAAAACTTTTTTTTTTCAAATTGTAGGGTATTTTAAGCCCGATCAAATGGTGCTAGATTGAAAAAATTTTGGCGCGAAATTCAAATATTTAGAGACGTTCGAAAATTTTGAAATTCGATATTTCCGGAATGGGGACCGACTCAACGCCAAAAAAACAATATGTTGTTTCTAAACATCTCAAAAATATGTGTGATTTTTCTTAGATTTTTGAAAGTGGTGGAACGACCCCAAAAAAAATAAAAACCAACAAAAAATTTAGTTTTTTGATCCTACAGCCTTGTAGATTAGATCTATGTTAAAACAAATAGCACCATTGAATTCTACGTAAAAAAATACATCGAAAACAGATATCATACATATATTATCAGTGCCATTATACACTGAGAATTCATAGTTCAACATAACATACCTCCGCGTACCAGTATGAGCTAATGATGATGTGGAAGGTCGGGAGTTTAAGGTAGTTAATGCTATGCTGTCCTCATGGAGAGTCAGGGCCGGGGGGTCCCCCCGCACTTCCCCGCATAACCTACAAACTCGAGTTTTCGTTCGCATTTTAATTCGATAATTATTATTTCCAATGGTGACCGCAACTCTGACTTCGCATACAGCTTTCTTTAATATTTATCCTTCCTTAGTATAGTTTTTTGAAAAGTTCTCTTAACTAGTTTTGCACTCTATAATACCGTTTTGTTTATGATGCTCTCCATAAGAGCCCGTGTATAAGCGACGAAATTGTGCATTTTTGCGTATTATACATGTTTTCGATGCATTTTTTCACATAGAATACAAAAGTGCTATTGGTTTTAGCCTAGAATACATATAGAAGGCTCCGAAAGCAAAAATACTGCGTTTCTCAGTGTTTTTGTATTTATTCACACGCTGGCCTACCCGGCAGGCAGGGTAGGTATTTATTTGACTATTACATATACTTACTCAAGTTAATAGAGCACAAACAATCCTATCAATTAACGGGCTTTTCGCGCTTAAACAACTTAATAAATAATTTAATAAACGGTAAAAATGAAATAAACAATGAGACAAGTAGATTAAGCGGCGGGACGGAGGTAAGACTTAATAAATAAATTAATTTTAATATTGAGTACATACCGAAAATAATGGAAAAATCCTTAAAAATGACGAAAAAATGTTCTAATCTAAAAGACGAGCAAAGCCGACAGCTCCCAAAGACAGTCACGTAAGAAACAGATAGAGTTACGATCGCCTCGGTGTTCCTATCGCAGGTAATGATTAAATAAATAAATAAATAAATGAAAAATCCTAAACAAATAAAAATGTAGTGTGCCATTTTCAGTACTTTTAATTATTTAAATATAAAAGCGCGCGAGAAATTAAATGACGGAAAAAACTGGAATGTATTAACGAAAATAAATAGATTAAATAAACAATAAGTCAACTAATAAAACAAATAATAAATGTCGTGTAGCGAACAGAGTGTGGAATTTGTTAATTAATAGAGTCCGGACGAGAATAAAAATCACAAAAAGAAAAAGTTGTATTTATTTATTTAAAAACGGTCTTTTCGCACTGATCGAATTCAATAAATAATTTAATAATTGGTAGAATCGAAATAAACAATGAGGTAAAAAAATTAGGCCGCAAAACGGTGCGTAGGACTTAATAAATAAATTAGTTGTAACAAACAGTGTCTACCAAAAATAATGGAAAAATCCTTAAAAATGATGAATAATGTTCTAATCTAAAAGACGAGCAAAGCCGACAGAAGTCTGCTTTCTGGCTATATCAATTTATTTGCTATTGAGTTTTATACTCAAATAATTTCAACTATTTTTATTTAACCGTTAAGTTACCGTTTAAGTTACCGTTAACGTTAATAACGACGTTATAATTTTTTTCCGAAAGTAACGTCATTAATTTTTTTTCGAAAATAATGCCGTTAAAGTAACCTCGTTATTTGTTAATATGCGTTATTTAAAAAAAAATTTTGTTTCCTATAAGACATTAACATACTATATAGAAATAATTTCAAAGTTGCTCATTAGTGCTAATGCTGCCCTGATTAAAAAAAAATTATAACATTTTTAGGAAATAATGGCGTTATTTATCGCCGTTATTCAACGTCGTTACCAAATAACGTCGTTGACATTTTTTTTCGAAAGTAACAAAGTTGAACTACAACCGTTAAATTAAAAAAAATACGCCGTTACTTTAACATTGTTACTTTCCAAGGAAACACTTTATAAGCGATGTTATTTGCGAAAAAATTGTAACGATTTATTTGGTAACTATGTTAAATAAGGTCATTATTGACCAACACGGTTATATGATTTTCTTTAAATAATGTAAATAAAATCCAATGTTTGTGTATATTGGTGTATTAAAGCAATTACTAAACATGTTCTATCAAATAAATAAATAAAAGAATGAATGTGCGTGTAGATTAAATTCCGTAAAAAAACGTTTGTCTGTCTACCACCTGACGGCAATCACTTCTTTACAAATACAATTACTAGAGGGTCGCATTTTTTTCATTTCAGATTCCATTCACAATGGCTGATACGACAGTCGGAGATAGTTGCGCAGGATGTGGTCTGGCAAAGAAGAAAATGTCTGGCTACAAACAGACTGTGAGCAATGAAGAAGAAGCGACAACCCTTTCAGATGTTTTTGCAAGAACGGTGGTGGTTAATGATATTCTATGCATAAAATGTGCTGGGGCTGCTCGTTTCGCAAGGTCAAAACAAAGAAAACTTGAACATGTTCCTCAAACTGAAAGTCAAGAATCCAGTTCATCTTCAGAAGTCGCTTCTCAACCTTCTCATAGTGATCCGCCATTCCAACTATCGAAAAAGTTATTAGTTGATAATAAAAAAGAAGAAGAGACCATTGAGTTGCCATATAGAAGAATCACTTCTACGCATAATTCTTGTTGTTTGTGTGGAAAAAAATCTGGGTTCATTTCTGTACCTTTCGAAGCGCGTCACCAAGTTTTTGTTGAAAAACAAATCTTCATTCCAAAAGGGAATAGATGTTGCACAATTCATCTGATAAACAAAAAATTCTATGCAGATGAAATAAATAATTTGACAGTCGTTTCTCATTCATCTTTGGTTACAGTCGATGACATAACTAAATTATTCCAAGCTTTCACTGTAACTTCAGATAGAGAACTACATCACAGAGTCGGCGACTTTGCTATATCTGAAAAAAGAATTCAAACTTTTACTGGACTTAACTGGGAACAGTTAATTCGATTGCGAGAAATGATGACTTCTTTAAGGAATACGGATAATCGCACCGTAAACCAAGCTCTAGTGATTTTTCTATTCAGATTGCGAACTGGAAATTCAAACGAAATGATTAGCTCTGTCTTCGGTCTAGACCGACCTCAGCAAGTATCTGAATTTTCAAAATCAATTTTAAAATCATTTGAAAAAGATGTATTACCTTCGCGCTTCGGGTTGAAAGCTGTAAATAGAAATGACTTGATTGAAAACCACTCAACAATTCTCCTCCAGAAACTTCACAATATAAAAGACAGTAATCTCACATTGGTTGGTGATGGAACCTACTTGAAACATCAGAAGAGCGCCAATAACGAATACCAAAGGAGGTCCTACTCGGGACACAAGAAGCTTCCTTTATGTAAGCCCTTCACTATTTGTACTACTGATGGATATATTGTTGATGTGCTTGGGCCTTTCTCCGCCAAAGACAATGATGCCAAGATTTTGGAACAACTGCTAACTGAAAATGATGATTTGAAAAATCTTATGTGTAAAGCAGGTGACGTTTTCGTACTCGACCGTGGATTCCGTGACGTACTGCAACTATTAGAAAATATGAAATACCGAGTTCTCATGCCATCCTTAAAAAAACAAGGAGAAAAGCAATTAACAGCAGAAGCAGCGAATAATTCTCGCCGTGTTACAATGATTCGGTGGGTTGTAGAAGCTGTTCATGGTGCCGTGGCTCAAAAATATAAAATTTTCCACCAGCAACTAGATAATCGCTTTCTAGTCGAAGCCAGTCTTTATTGTAAAGTCGTTTGTTTTTTAATTAATGAATTCGGGAAACGGCTGGTGTCTAGAGCTTCTACAAATGAAGATATTCTCAATCAAGTAATTTCAAAACACGGTACGGAAAATACTTTAGCTGAAGATGTAGCGACAGGAAGATGGAGTCGCCGAACGAGTGAATTTACAAAATTGAGTTCCTCTGATGTGGATGATTTTCCAGAAATGACAGAAAATGATCTAATTACGCTATTTACTGGAACTTATCAACTGCAGCAATCGATTTCTTATTTGGCAGAAATGATAGATGACAATAATGAGATGACTGTGCAGTTTCATAAAGATGTAGAGAACATTCTCAAATTGCGTGTGAGATCGAGGCATATTGAAAAAAAGACTTACAACTGTTACATCGATTACAAACCCAATTCAATTGGATGTGGTGGAATTCAGCGATATTATTGCGAATGTGCTAATGGGATGCGAACGATCGGTTGTTGCTCTCATGTTGCTGCAGTTGTTTACTATTTGTCTCATGCTAGATATTTGTCTCGCATTCTTCGACCTGCAGAGCATCTCACCAAGATTTTTGAACGAAACGAAGTCGTTCCCGTTATAGAAGAAGACAGCGACGAAGATTCATAGAGCTATTAAGGTCAAAATCTGCCGAATCAAATTGCACTAAAGTCATGGTATTATTTTATGTAAATTGTTAAATAAGATGTATAAATAAACTGAAAAGCCAATACGTAAAGCTCAATCACATTATATATTAGCCTATGTGTTTAAGCTTGTAATAAATATCAGTGCCTTAAACTTTAAAAAGTTGTACCATTTTATTTATTTATTCCAGAAAAATTTCAAAGTAGAAGATTGGTGGTGAATAGTGCGGTATGATTTGATGTCATAACATGAAATTCATAAATATTACAAATCAAAATCAAGTCGTCAAAAGTATAAATTAAAGTGATAGTAAACTCAATTTAAAAATGTTTTAGCAGAATTTGAATACTATAAGGTCGGCTCAGATTGTAAAAATTCAAAAAGTAATAATATTATTAAATGTAGACAAATATCATGATTTGCAACTATAAATAAATCTTGAGTAGAAAACCTTTACGCATTTTCAATGCACGTTTTCGATGTATTTCTTTATGGAAAATACGATATCGTTCCTGATTTTTTTCATAAAACACAACATTCATAAAATACGCAAAATGCGAAAAACTTAATTTTTTTTTCAATTTTTGGCCTCGAGCGCTCATGAGGTAAATTTTATGATAAAAACAATAGCACCATAATATTCTACGGAAAAAAATACATTGAAAATATGTATAACATGTTTGAAAACAATCTCTTGAGGACGTTAAATCGACAAATAATAAATATTTACAGTGTAAGTGGAGCCGATCGGCAGGGCCGATTTTATCATGTACGGATTTGCATGATGACTTGAATTTTTTCTAAACATATGATACATATTTTCGATGTATTTTTTTACGTAGAATGCAATGGTGCTATTTGTTTTAACGTAGATCTAATCTACAAGGCTGTAGGATCAAAAAACTAAATTTTTTGTTGGTTTTTATTTTTTTTGGGGTCGTTCCACCACTTTCAAAAATCTAAGAAAAATCACACATATTTTTGAGATGTTTAGAAACAACATATTTTTTTTTTGGCGTTGAGTCGGTCCCCATTCCGGAAATATCGAATTTCAAAATTTTCGAACGTCTCTAAATATTTGAATTTCGCGCCAAAATTTTTTCAAACTAGCACCATTTGATCGGGCTTAAAATACCCTACAATTTGAAAAAAAAAAGTTTTTTCTAGCTCAAAAACTGATTGAGATATCGTCGAAAAACCAAAAATGACAAAACTGGGCCTTATAGGGCCCCGTATGGGTTTAGGGGTCTGAAAATCTGGAAATCGTAGTCTTTTTCCATGCTGAACATGGGAGTATAGTTAGTTTCCTGAATCACTTCGGGGCAGTTTTGACTATCTTATCCTGCTAGACCCTTTTAGGAATAATTTCATCAACGTGTGCTATCACGAAGAGGATTTCGATATTTCCGTAGAATCATATAATTTTTTTGCTACCTCGCACGGCAAAAGTGCGTGTAATGGAAACGGAGCGACGGCGGAAGGTTCTGCAAGAAAAGCATCTTTGCAAAAAGTTAGAATCACAAATGCAAAAGAAATGTATGACTATTTGAATGAGAAAGAATCCAGCATTAGGTATGATAAAAGCTATTTTTTTTATTAAGTATACACTGCCGGCCAAAAGTTTGGAAACACTTCGTTCGGATTTCGAAATATGTATTTTTCCAGGAGTTTTGCCTCGAAAAAAGTATTTTTTGCTCATAATGACACAGAATCAAGCCTTTCCAGGTAACTTGAGGGTTAAGGTTTTAGATAAAAGTAGTATGAACTTAGAATTTTTGCCAGTCCGTTTGTTTTCATAATATTGACGATATGAGAGTTTATTATCGATGAGAAATTTATTGTGATGTTCTACTTTTGTTTCCTTTTTTGGCTTTAAACTTTTATCCATATTACTTTGGTTTGTCAGTATTGTTTTTTTATAAGTCTTGTATTTGATTTCCCTCATTTGAGTCAAAACTGTAAGCGTCTTTAAGTTGTCTCGAATATTTTTTTTTATTTAGGAATTTGTAAAAGTTTTGGCTTACATATTTATATTATACGGCTCAGTCATGGGAAAACGTAAAGAAATTCCACTTGAAAAAAGGGGAGCTGTATTGGCATTACATAATGAAGGTATCTCATATCGTGAAATTGCCAAAAAATTGAAAATTTCATTGAAAGGTGTGCATTCAACGATCAAAAGATTTGAAGACACGGGTAATCATCACGATCGTCCTCGAACCGGACGTCCAAAAGTAACTACTTCTCGCGAAGGTAAGCATATAGTGGTTACCAGTAAACGGAATAGACGGTTAACAGCTCCCGAAATATGCGCAGACATCAACAGAAGTCGTGAAAAACCGGTTTCACTAACAACTGTAAAAAGAAGATTAAACGCTGCCGGACTCAAAGGATGTGTTGCAGTGAAAAAACCATTACTACGTAAAGAGAATAAAAAGAAAAGACTACAATGGGCTAAAAGGCATCGAAACTGGACGATGGATCAATGGAAAAATGTGCTCTGGAGTGACGAATCCAAGTATGAAATATTTGGCTCTCGACGTAGAATTTATGTGAGAAGAAGTGCGTCCGAAAAAATGACACCTCAGTGTATAGTGCCTACTGTGAAGCATGGAGGTGGCTCAGTGATGGTGTGGGGATGTTTTTCTGGCCATGGAACCGGAGATTTAGTGAAAATTGATGGAATAATGAGAAAAGAGCAATATAAAAATATTCTCGTTCGTCATGCGATTCCCTCTGGATTAAGAGGACCCGGCCGTGGTTTTGTCTTCCAGCAAGACAACGACCCAAAACATACGTCGATCCTCTGCCGCAGTTATTTAGAGCAAAAAAAAGCTGATGGTGTCTTGGAAAATATGACATGGCCGCCGCAATCGCCAGACCTCAACCCGATCGAACTTCTGTGGGAAGATCTCGATCGAAAAATAAGAACATGTTGTCCAACATCCGCTGGAGACTTATGGGAGAAGCTAAGAGAGGCGTGGGCTTCTCTGGAACAGGAAACTTTGGACAAACTTATCGAAAGAATGCCACGGTTGGTGAGAGCAGTCATCAAAAGCAAGGGTGGATTTTTTGATGAAAAAAAAATCTGATATATTAATACCTTTTCTTTATAGACTTTTGTATTTTTCTTTTTATGTCTAGATACACTTTTTCTTGTTGTCTAGATATATTTTTTCTTGTTGTAAAATATACATTTTTTGTTGTTATACTATGTTTCAAACAAGTGAATCAATAAATTTCCTAATTAATTCATGAATACATATTTTTTCAACACTGTTTCCAAACTTTTGGCCGGCAGTGTATATATATAAATTTGGTTGCTCATCGACAAAACAATTTTTAGATTCTGTTATGTTCCTGCAAAGAATGTTGAAGCTAGAGAAAAGAAGCTTGAAAGTAGATTCAAATCAGTCAAAACCATACCTAACACAAGAGATAACCATCGTTTTGAGCCAGTGAACAAAAAACAAATCATCGTGAGATTATTTTCAACTGACACAGATGTAAAGATTGTTAATGCTCAGTGGCAGGAAAAAACCTGTACTATATATGTATTTAATTGATAAAAGAACTTTAAAACTGTAACTCAAACTATTAAGATTGATCTAATAGAAAAATTTGATTATGGAGCGTTATATGTCATACGCGTAATATGTCGTTAGATTTTTTGAAGAGGTATGTAATCCAACTTTTTTCACAAAAAGTTCCGAATGCTGTGTCTCCTAATTAGTTTACATAAATATTAAATTATTTGTCAATATTATGGAAAATCCAAATGGAACATTTCTGATAATTTACTATAAATTTTATCTTGAAAGTAAATGATTTTTATCGTATATAACACAGGACCACAAATGGGAACCGGAAAAAGTCCTTCGGCAAAATTGATACCCTATATGTATTTCGACGCGCTGATTCCAAATCCGAGGTCCACATAACCCCAGCACGTCGTGTTCAAGGACATTTGAAGGTCAAACGCATTTACTACGGGAAAACATAAAATCTGACCACGGATTCGGAAAGAGCGGGAAATTTTACGTCCAAATATGTATTTTCTATTTTTTCCAACATGACCCTCCAAGGTCATCTGAGGGTCAAATGACTCACCGATCGATAAAATTCATGTATTCCATATACATCATTACACTACAGATTTTTAACTATAATTTGGTCACGTATCTTTAGGTATTTCGACGCGCTAAATCAAAATCTGAGGATCCTCGGTCTCAAATTCAAATATGAGTTAAGGTGAGAACATAGTTCATGGTTGTGTTAGCTCTCTTTATGGTTTTCTCGCGCGGATATTGCCAATCGATTCCAGCAATTAAAATTCACCTAGCTTGATATATAGACTTAATTTCAGATAGTGATGTCGATCAAAAAGATTTACGAATGACGCGTTCTTTTATTAGCAAACGATCTGCGGAGCGCTTTTCTTTTGTGTGGAGTAGTAGTGTCTCTTTTAAGAGATCAACAATAGTCTGACATCATGTTCACATCCCAATAGCCTTGATATCTTCTTTCGATGTCTTTGAAGTCTTGGTGGAATCTCTCTCCTTGCTCCTCGCTAAAGTCTCCTAAATTTTCAGGAAAGTAATCAAGATGAAAATGAAGAAAATGAATTTTCAAATTCATCAAGCAACCCATTATTTTGTAATTACCCAACATCTCATTTACTATATCTTCGTAATCGTCGTCTTTATTATTTCCTAAAAATTTATGCTGAACTTCTCTAAAGCTTTGCCACGCGTTGCGTTCCTTTATCGTCATTCTTCTTTCAAATTCTTCATCTCGTAATAGTTCTCTTATTTGTGGACCATCAAAGACTCCTTCGTTGATCTTTGCTTCCGAAAGTTTTGGAAATTTCTCGAAGAGATACATAAAAGCGTTGCTTTCGTCTTGTGAATTTTTCATTGCTTTAATGAACTGTTTGACCAAACCAAGCTTAATATGCAAGGGTGGGAGGATGACTTTATTTG